TGAATGTGCTTCATAATTCTGCGATACCCTGTTGGATTCTAGCTGTGGGTGATTTGGCAGCAGAAAGCTATTACTTTTGACAAGGGTGTCATCTGTTCAGAGGGAAATTGCAAACTGCTGAACGTAAAATTGCCTAGTGAACTAACCAGCCAAAAAATCTGGGGTTTGTTCTGCAGCAGTATAAGACTACAGTTATTCCTTTGTGGGATGCACATTTTCCTTATTTTTAAGGGCCACTCTGGCTCTTGCCAGTGGCCGCATTTGAGCCTAGTCATAAATATGGTCTAATGGCTGAACGTGGTTTCTGGGACCTCTACACGGGTGATCCTCATTCACATGGTGGCACTTTCTGTCATCGGGTGTTTATCGCTTGTGTGATGTCCTAGAGGGGTAGAAGTACTACTACTACTACTACTATTCTGCAGCATGTTGTAAATGGTGTAGGTCAAAATGGGTCAGCCGAGGGTCATATGGGTCACATTTGTGTTATCATGAGGGCTGCACACAGAGATTAATAGAAGTTAAAGGTTGTGTATCCTTTACAGGATGTTGCAGAACCAATCCCGGTATGTGCTTGCATAGGACTGTATGTAGCCTGCAAACTGCTGGTTTGAGATGCCTGCTGTAAAGGATAAATACAATCTGCCCTAAATGGGTACCAGGTGGTCCTGGGAAGTAAAGGTGGCTGTGACGATCACATGTCGGTTTCATCCCTGATGCAAAAATGGTCCCTTTACTATGGAAACCATGCATGCATAATGTACAACTGTTCAGACACTAGTGATGTCTGATAAATATTCATAAATATATATTTATAGTGTCACTGAATTTTAAAAACAAAAATGTTAACTCTTGCATTTTATTTGCTATGAATGAATGAATGAATGAATGAATAAATGAATTAATGAATTAATGAATGAATGCACCTGGGAAATTCCTACACGATCTCAGACTCCTTCATCATCAGCCAACAAACTGTCCACACGCTAATTGTACCAGTTTACCAGCACTGTGATTAAAAGTCTAGGTGCTTTATTAATATCCTACCCCAAACAGGGGAAATCCACAGGTCATGAGGCAGTCTAATATTTCAGGGTGTGGTAGATAGGCTACATGTAGCCCTAGGACCTAGGCTGCACTCTCTCGTGGGATGTAGGTGGGTTGGGGTTAGGGCCAGTTCTAGAAGTTGTGGGGTCGTTGAAAGCATTAGAAAGCTGGGAAACTCAGTCTTACCTCCCTTCAAAATGTTGGACTGTCCTGTGATGTCATCTGGGGGTTAAAAGTTAGTTGCGTATCCTTTACAGGACGTTGCAGAACCAACCCTAACAGCCCCTGGCTGTTGTGTGGTTTCTCTAGGCAAGTTACATCCAGTAGTTTGCCATTGCTTCTGGACAGTCGGCTTTCTTGATACCACTGTCGAAACCAACGTAAGGCGCATTGCCCGCAGCTGGGATCGAACCTGGCATCCCGGCATTACGAAGCGAAGCGTTCGCATCGACTTAGCCACAGAGCCGACCATCTGGGGGTAGGATATTAATAAATCACAAAAGTCTGTCTTTATTTCCCCCCTCAGTTCGAATATCTTCCATACTCTCTACTCACATCCCCCCCAACCCCCACCTGTTGAATTATTTTCCATATATGGTTTCTCTGTGTATTCTATTGAACTGTTGATTGTCAGAGAGCTTTCATCAAGTCCACTTTATCATTAAGTAGCTCATCATCTAGATAAGCGGCCGCAGACAATATCAGCCGGCTCTTTACCTCGCACACTTGAAAATCCTGGACCAAAAATCTATGTTATAAAATGATTCTGACCTGAGCCTTATCAAGTGATACAAGCCACTCTGTACAAAGGAAGTCAATTTCAGTTGTGCAAAGCATGCTCTGAGTCTGTTATAGTCACAACATATTGGGCTGTGCTGCTCTCAGGCCACCAGAAAGCTGCTGTTACTGCCTCTACCTCCATTCTCATAGTGGATATTGTGACATATATGAGGCTCTCTTTATTCACTTTTATAGCTGTCACCTCCTTTGATGCCACTCTTCCATTTTTTGGGGCCACTTTAAAATCTGCTATACCTAATGATGGATATAATGGACAGTAATTACAATATAAAGGAAAAAATTGAAGAGCTCTGTTTTGAAATGAACTTTTTAAAGATTTGTACTGTCATGACAGAATGCTGGAAATCCACCAAAGCCAACTTTAAATGTGAAGTTCAAAGTGGATATTGTAACAGAAGCAACAACTTGTGATGAATACAGATAGAACAAAAGAATCAATTGAGATCATATCTTTAGGTTGAGAAATACAGGGATGTAGATCTTTATAATTTATGTGTGTATGTGTTGTTTAACAGTGGTCTCAACCTTTTCCGGTCACGTCCCCCTTGAGAAGAGGGCAAAATCCACACACCCCTTGAGAAGAGGGCAAGACCCCCCACACCCCTTTGAGTATATGCCAAGTCCCCACACCCCTTTGAGTATATGCCAAGTCCCCCACACCCCTTTGAGTATATGCCAAGTCCCCCACACCCCTTTGAGTATATGCCAAGTCCCCACACCCCTTTAAGTATATGGCAAGATCCCCACAACCCCTTGAGTATATGGTAAGATCCCCACACCCCTTGTGTATATTGGAAGAACTCCATGCCACTGAGTAAGTGGCAAGACCCCCAAACATAACAAAATAGGATTCAAAAGAGAAGTACTATAAATTCCACAACAAGAGACACATTATGGCCATATGCTTCTGTCAAAATGTGTTCTTAACCTATTATTGCCTATGCTATCATATTAACTAGATTTTTAACTGTAGATATACAAATTGCTTATAAAACAAACAAAAAGGTCCTTGGCTTTTTGTTTTATAAATATTTTATTATTTTATTTATAATTATACTGAAAATTATAATACAGATTGTTAAAAACACAGGTGCGCTTAATTTCAAAATTGCTTGATAACCCCCCTTGAAACCTCCTCGTGGCACCCAGGTTGGAGACCAGTTGTTTAGCAGTTTATCAGAAGCTGTGAATGTTGAATGCTGAATTAAGAATCGACTTTGCAGTATTTGGGACACCCCCATAAGCACTGTGTCTCCACCTTCAGAGTTCTAATCCCCATGGTACCAGTAACTGTCTGTAAAAAGAAGCTGTAAAAACATCATGAGACCTGTGCAGTATCCAGTACACTTGATCATCTAAAAGGAAACATACCAAGCAGCTGTCACAGTAGCTAGTGAAAGGGACACATGTTTGATTTTAGGGGCCATTTTAGCACAGTTGATAAGAGGCTCGCTTTCAAATCCAGCTGCGACTTGCTGCAGCCCACGGTCGGTGTTCGAAACAGGGCAGTTACCACACCCAGCCTCTAGGTAATGGGTACCAGTGTTGACACTCTCGGGTAAATGTAGGCACATCGCTGTAGCTACAGAGTTACGTGCGAACGGCGACACAGGCGGACAATTCTTATCAGCTGTCCGTACGGGTGGCAGAGCACTTCTGGTTTATAACCGTGTGCAAAGACGCTGGTTCACATCTCCCGACTTTTATTTTTTTTTTTTTTACTTTTACACATGTTTGGGGTGCAAAGGGAAAATACACAGTACCATCTCGTTAACATGAATTCTAAGGAATCAAAAAAGTCCAGAGTTAATGCTAAAATAATTCATGGTAAATGGGGATTAAAAGATGTATTATGAATAAAACAATACAATTTTGTTCATGTCAACCAAGAGTTTGTCTTGTCTTAAGTTTTACAGTATAACTGCAGAGCATGTATGTTAATGCCTCAAGTGCTGTGATGTCACTTCTTGACTCAACTCAACTCAATACAGTATAACTTCAGAGCATGTATGTTAATGCTGTGATGTCACTTCTTGACTCAACTCAAATACAGTATAACTTCAGAGCATGTATGTTAATGTCTCAAGTGCTGCACTTCTTGACTAAAGTATAACTGCAGAGCATGTATGTTAATGCCTCAAGTGCTGTGATGTCAAACTCAACTTAATACAGTATAACTGCAGAGCATGTATGTTAATGCCTCAAGTGCTGTGATGTCACTTCTTGACTCAACTCAACTCAATACAGTATAACTGCAGAGCATGTATGTTAATGCCTCAAGTGCTGTGATGTCACTTCTTGACTCAACTCAACTCAATACAGTATAACTGCAGAGCATGTATGTTAATGCCTCAAGTGCTGTGATGTCACTTCTTGACTCAACTCAATACAGTATAACTGCAGAGCATGTATGTTAATGCCTCAAGTGCTGTGATGTCACTTCTTGACTCAACTCAACTCAATACAGTATAACTGCAAAGCATGTATGTTAATGCCTCAAGTGCTGTGATGTCACTTCTTGACTCAACTCAACTCCATACAGTATAACTAAAATGCCTTGCGGTCTGGCCTACAGAACCAAAGAATAAAAATGAGGCAAAAACTTCACCAAGTGTGTTCCAGTGCCACATTTTGGGGAAAACATGATTGGATCCATCCACTGCCCTCCTAACAATCAAGCTGTGAAAGGTAACTAAAGGGATGTTTCCTCTGAAGTCAGAATGTATCTTCCTGGGAGGCAAGGGACCAACAGTCTGCATACAAATAAGAGATCTGTAAAATGACTGCATATAAAATTCAAATTCTGGAACACGACTAAAGTCCAGAAGCGGATGAACAAGTAGAACTTTCTGCCAGAGTTTACAGCGAGTAAACGCTGAGTAAATGAAGGAGGAGTGAAAACAAATTTAAAATATGCAAAAGAGAAGGTGAGGACATGGGGTGATGTGCGTGGAATGCTGACTTGTGGCAAGTTGGTTCCGGAGTTTTAACATTGGTAAAAGAATTTACAGTTGTAGACAACAGCACATTTTTATAAATATTCTTTGTCAGGTAGGAGACGGCCGCTAAACACCCAAGACACATAGATCCGATCTAGGTTGCAACTTAAAACCTGTTTAAATACACCCTTCATCTCTCTGAGGTGAAGGTTGTCAGCTTGTTGACATATCTATGTCATCAAATGCTTCAAAATTACGAGCTGCAAAATTAAACTCAGTAGGATTGTAAGTTGATAAATCAATTTTCCCTTGATTATAGGCTGAAAAATCAAATCCTTCAGAATTATAGGCCACAGATTCAACTTGTGCTGAATTATGAGGCTCATCAAATTCCCCAGAGTGATGTTCTCCTGCCTCAAAGTCCTCAAGGTCAAGGCCAACTGAATAGCTAACACTAGCTGACCTAGGATCTGCTTCTAGCCCTACAATATTAATACCCTTTATATCTTCCGATTTCGTGAGTGTATCTTTCCTGGTCTCTGCATATAGGCTGTTCTCAAAGTTCTTCACTCTGGAAGCTTCTCTCCGAAGGAAGGAGGACCTCCGAATTCCACACCGACGAATGGAAAAGCTGATGCCAATAACCAAGAGAATACCAATAATAACACCAATGACAATGCCAACTATGTCGCCTCCATTCAGCCCACCAGAATCTGTAAAAAAAAATATAGTTTATCGTAAATTTGAAGTTACCCTGGTAAGTCACATGACTAAAATTAACAACCCCCTCCTTTTTAAGCAGATGGAATTTATCGTAAATTTGAAGTTACCCTGGTAATTCACGTGACTAAAATCAACAACCCCCTCCTTTGTAAGCAGGCTCAACTACCACACACATAAAATACAGTCTGTACAGTCCCCACGGTGTGCCTGTCAATTGGGAACTAAAAATACCAGAGTATATTCTGCAGGCTTGTCAGCTATTTTTACATCTACGAAAAGAAACCTTGGCCTTGTGGAAAGCAAGCTATGAGAAACCATGAAGGACCTGTAGCTGACATGTCAACTCATAGAGGTAGCCAGTCTGATGATCTGACTGGAGCATATGAAAAACCAAACGCAAAGAAGAAGAAGTTTTCAGTGGATCATTTGTTTAGTACAGAATCACCACCAATATTACAAATTTCTCTCCAGATCACACAGATGCCTCCACTGTACTAAGATCATTCTTTGCAGGCACCAGTGAATGAACGCTTATAGTTTATTAGTAACTGCTTCAGTGATTTTCCATGTTTCTTTTCCACGCAGCTGTACTGATATGACATCAGTGTTAAACTTTGTAATTAGTTTTAATTTCCATCATTAAATCAATCAGGAAACCACCACACAAGACGATTATTTTATTATGGATAGATCAGAACAAGCCATTCTCCTGTGCTTCAGAACAGGTTACAACCAAGCAATGGCAAACTGCTGAATTTGCATAGAAAAAAAAAACAGTACAAAAAATGCTGGGGTTGGTTCTACAATGTCCTCTCAAGGATACACAACTAACTAACTTAACTATTTGCTTTAACTCTAATCTGGATAAGTGGAATTTCTGTTAAGAAGAACCATTCCTTGGGTCCTTGGTGAGTTTTTCTTATGAGATCTGCACTGTGTAATGGAATATGATACAAACAAATAGGAAGAAATACTGCCAAACAAAGCATAAATAAATGAACACAAATTGTAATAAAAATGCTAGTAATAATAATAGTAATAGTATTAATGAAAGGTAAATTTTAAAAATATAAAAAATATATAGTGGGACTTATCATAAAATATGTAAATTGTTGTCAAGTGCGTATTGACATGCTTACCTTTCTCTTGTGATGGCTGGGCATTTGGTTTGCTGGAGCTGATAGTTGATGTTTTTGATGGGGAAAACTGAGAGGGAGAAGGTGACGAGGTCTGTGTTGGATGTGATCTCAACTGAGAAGATGAAGATGATGATGATGATGACATCGACCACAGGGATGATGATGATGATGTTGGATGTGATCTAAACTGAGATAATGATGATGATGATGACGACGACAACTGCGATGATGATGATAATGTTGCTGAAGATGTATGTGCGGGAACGGCCGGTGAAGGACTAGGAGGACTTTCTTGTGAGTACGGGGCGGGTGTTAAACTGGTAGGCGGAGTGGGAGTTTTCTGGGTGACATTGATAGGTGGGAGGGTTGGATGGGTGTCCAGGACCGCTGCAGAGTACAGACAAACATATTTTCTTCTATCAAACAATGCTACATAGATACAGCATAATAATAGACTTTAACAAACACAAATGTCTGTACTCTTTCCACAATGAAGATTGGCTAAAATGCATCATTGTTGTCTTTGTGTATATTACATGGTGAGGCTGCAATCTCTTCAACAGCACATCTCGTGTACCATTGTCCGACAAGCACAAGAATGGGATTTCTTTCCCGGTCAACACCAGGAGGGGAACCCTACTACTTGAGGAACATGAAACTGTTAACCACTAAGCCGCACAACATGATAATGAGCTCCCCCTACCTCCCCCACCCTTCCATGAAAACAGAAAGCCTAACACTGGTAAATGCTACCAAAAGAAGAAGATGGAGATGGCTTGGTCATGTCTGCAGCATGCATCATGACACACTGGCAAGGGCAGGTGGACAGAAGATAGAAAAAGAAGATGTGTGGATGACCTCGTGAACATGAAAAGGTTGATGATAAGAAACTTAAATATCGGAAGGTGTGTCCACAGTGGGTACCACAGATGTTGACTGACCACCAAATGGAGGAAGGCAAGGAATGCTGTTTGAACAACTCCACATGTTGCAATTATTGTGGAGGAAGCATTAGCATTGAAGAGGTGGACAATTCTGCAACATCCAGCCTTTAGTCACCATGTGACTTCATTTGCCTAGAAAAAAATGTTAAGGGGCACAGATTACACAAAGATGGAGATAGAAAAAAGGAGATGGGGATGACCTCCTGGAGGGAACAGTAAACTTTTTTTGTCTGTGTGTTTTAAATAGTTTGCACCCCAATGAATGCAGTCCATAGTATTAACATTGGAGTCAAACAGGTACAAATCCTAGAAACTCCATTCAACCATACAGCAGTTTTTTTGGGGCATCGCAAAAGGGTTACATATAGTGCCGAGTGGGTGAGTTGCAGTTAACAGAAAGGGAAATAAAGGGATTTAAAATAGAACGGGATACCATGGGCAGAACAACAGCAGACCAGCAGCAATGAAGATCACAGCTGTATGCTTTATGAGTCAACTACAAGAATAAGAGGACATAAAATGATCCTTCCTGAAATGCCTCTAACTTGAAGTGGTAGATGGGCATGTGTATTCCAAAGGCCCCAAGAGGTTTGCTGATGGTATCTTAGCTCCTGAGAGAATCAGGAACCAGATCATGTGAGACACAAACTTGCTCCCTGGTAGGTAGACTATAGACAAAGAAACACTACTGAGAGCAAACAGAAAAAATGCTTGTTGAAATCAAATGTATAGTCCGTTAGAAATTCAAAAAATTAGTTGCAATCTATTTTCTCAAAAAACTGCCTGTTAGTTTGCAATGATTTTTTGCATGCAGCCTTTGAATATCCATGATGCAACAACAAAAAAAAGCCTTTTTCTTTAGTCCATAGATGCTTAGAATTTTGCTAATCAGCGAATTCTTTTCAACTTTGCTAACCATTGTAAAAAAGTAGAATGAAATTTTAAATTTTACAGGAAACGAGTTAATTTCAAGTTTTTTCAGAGACATCTTTTTCTTCTACTTATTCTGCCTTTCTATCCCCCAATGGAGCATAGGCACTCAACCAACTCACACCAAGTTGTTCTATCCTTTGCTATTACACGGAGCTCTCCCCATGTCCTCCCCATCTTTCTAACTTCATTCTCCAGCTTTCTTCTTCATGTGTTTTTTGGCCTTCCTTTATTTCTATTTCCCTGTGGGTTCCAATGCAAAGACATTCTAGTTATGCTGTTCTCCAATTTTCTCAATGTATTGTATCCAACGCCCTAAATACTAATACTATAATTTTTCATTTCTCTTATTACTTTCATTCTTCTCCCTATATCATAGAGAGTTCTGAAATTCCAGGTGCCAATTCTGGAGGCTTTTCTAGCTGAGAGGAGGTATATCGACGATCCTGACTTCTTTCGGCTTTCTCCACACTGTTTATACTTCTTCTACTTGAAGAGCCTCATCTCTTCTTAGTTGGCTGGGTTTTACTTGCTTCGCTTTTTGACTTATCCATGGTTGGTTGGCGGCGTCCGTGGCTAAGGCGTTGCGAGTCCGACTCGTAATCCAACGTACCGCGATCGAAACCTGTGTGAGCTGCGTGGATTTTTATCGTGGTATAGGTCGACCCAGCCTCAAATGGGTACCAGGATGGGCTGTCCTGGGAAAGTAAAGACGGCCGGCGTAATGCTGACCACATTACCCACCGAGTGCCGATTGGTCTGTAAAAATATGGGTGCTCTTCCCGTATGCCCGATGCGCCTAAAGGCATGTAAAGGGATCTTTACTTTACTTACTTTTTATGGCTGGTAGGTTTTTGTGGCTATTGTTTTTACAGGATGAGGGAGTCAACCTCAGTTGTGTTCATTTGACTTGGTCATGAATATCACAATACAAATGACCCATCATATATTTCTGGCACAAGTTCTGGTACAGAAAAACGGTAACCTTCTACAATTGATAAATTTGCACGTCAAACTTTATGTGAAACTGATATCTATGTCAGTTTTAATAAGCCCTCTAAATGACACAATAAACTCAAAACTAATTTGTGAATACGCCCTTAACTAAAAAAAAACCTTGAATAATGTTTCATTCTAGTTTCTGTTCAATAACAGTATGACTCTGCGCAAGAAAATCATGAAATTACATAGTGTTTCTTTGACCCCTGCAGAACCTGTCACAGCGTGTGCCATACTTCCTGAAACTAATGAAAGTAAACCTTTCAAACTCTACGAAGACGATTTCATGATAAAAGGGATTCACATATCTGTTTCATTCTATTAAACAAACCATAGTATGCCCCTGACGGGATACATCAAAATGTGACAGGCAATAAATCTTGCTCTGGTGATCATACTACACACCTCGTTCTAGACAATTGCCTCATCTATAGTCTAGGTGTTTTAATCCTAGGAGGTATCAATGTCTAGCATACCTTCATCTAAACAGTTTGACTATTGTCACATTATTGTTAATTACATTTTATTACCATTATTATTATTTTTTTATGCTTTTAAAAATTGTTATTACATATTATTTGTTTAATGTATCTCTTGTCAGTACCAGTTAAGGACCATTAACATTTGTATTTCTATTAATCTTTTATTCCTACTATTATTATGCATTATCACTATTGATTTTATGACTATTTTTGGGGCTTCCTCTATTTTATTCACATTTTTATAGTTTCTCATGTGACACATTCCCCCTCCCCCCCTCCCCCCCCCCCACTTTTTCCCCCTTTTTTTTCACATTGGGTGCTGGTGGTTGTAGTACTCTCCCCTTTGTTATTGCTGTGTAGTTAGTCCATGCTGAGAAAGGCCATGGCCAAAATATCCATTTGTGTGTTTTATAACCCATTTCATTAGGCTTTTTAGTAACAGTTCACTGGATTATTTTCTGGTATTAGCTTAACTGCAGTCACCCCTATTTTCAGGCAACAAATTGTGCAATCTATTGTTTGTGCCTTCTTTGTTCAAATTAAAAATGTGAAAACAGTGCTTTGATTTTCTGAAATAACATACTTGTTGAAACTCTTCACTGTTAACATTCTAACTGACATAAAACAAAATGAGACTACCTGCAGGAATACTGCACAAAAAGCCATATGTGCTGTCACAGCCAATATTAGCCCAGTGACCATCCCAGAACATGACCACACAACTTTGGTCTAAAGTCTCACCCAGCCAGGAAGGTTCATTGAGTGCCCAGTTGGTGAAGTCCAGCACAGTTGAGTCCTCCCAGCTGAAGCCCTCTGTGGAAACACAAAGTCTCATAAATGACTTTCCACTTACTCATCCACTAAAATAAATGCCTTAACATCAACATCTATAGGGACTAATTTACACTGAAAGAGGGCAATGGGAAATGTGTATGTGTGCCAGTCAAGAAACTGTAGAAAATTATATATTGTTATACCCACCTCTGTCTATCCATTCATACATACAACCACCCCCATTTATCCATCCACCCATCCATTTCTGTCTACCCATCCATCCATACATCCACCCATCCATTTCTGTCTACCCATCCATCCATACATCCACCCATCCATTTCTGTCTACCCTCCCATCCATACATCCACCCATCCATTTCTGTCTACCCATCCGTCCATACATCCACCCACATTTTTACTTACACGCCTATTGTCCTATGATGTATAAATTCTGTTTCTGACCTTTCAGAAAAATGGCCAGGTTGATCCAAAATCTGTGCAAAGAAGCTCAAAGAGTGGTAATTCAGTTTTATTTGAAGGATGTCGACCAATGGACATTCATGAAAGAATGCAGGCAACATAGGGAAACAGATATGTGTTGAAGACAAATATGACAGACTGGGTATTCATTTTTTGTTTGAAACGATGCAAATTCACAATAGATCTCCTATGGCTGGGTCAAGTACATATTATTGCAACAGAAAAAAAAAACTGCCAAAATTGATGTAACAATACAGGTAAACTGTTGTCGAATGACATATTTTCTAGCAAAAAGAATTAAATGTGTTAACTAAAATAATTCTAAAGGTTTTTCATAGAAAAATTCAGCATCGGAAGGTGTGTTTACAGTGGGACATGTTGACCAACTACCAAACAGAGGAACAAGGGATGCTGTTTAAACAACTCTGCCTGTTGCGATGACTGCGCAAAAAGCATTACCATGAAATAAGTGGATAATTCTGCAACATCCACCCTGTAGTCTTGATTTGTCATCATGTGACTTTAATTAGCTCAGATCTGTACGGTCTGTACAGTAAAAACTTTGTTCTGTGAGCAGCCACAATCGTTTAATTTTTTTTATGCCTAGCTAAGCAATGTAACACTTGTATGAATGCCTGTGATGGAGGTTTTTTTTTTTTTTTTAACCAACCCATGGTGTAGAATTAATTGAAAATGAATGCTTTGTTTAATTCTTCTACACCAGCTGATATTTCATGCTTTATAATAAAGCCAATGGAAAGAGGTTTCAAATGAATGGTCCTTATACTTTGCTTTTTATGACAGTCCCTTTTGCAAACAACACCATCCCCCTATCTATTCACTCACCTACCCACACCTCCACTTACCTATCTATATCTACTTACTCATTTACCTACCTTTCCAGGGCTGAATTTAGGATTAGCCTTTATGCTGAATTTGTGACTCCTCAAAAATAGCATTGATTCCTCTGTCTGTCTACATGCTTATTGCATAGTGGCCTAACATTTCCATCCTAATGTGGGACTCAAATTTTAGTTATTTCAAAGTCCCCACCACGGCTGTAGTCGGTTGCCCTAATATAACCTAACGGTTAAAGGTAATTTTAATAGCCCTGACCACAGCGGTAAAGATGACATATCTGTCACAGCATTAAAATCTTGCTCTGGCGATCATACTACCCGCCTCGCTTTGGAAAATCGCCTTATCCACAGCCTTGGCGTTCTTAGTCCAAGAGGTATCAATATCCAACATACCTTCATCTAAATAGTTCTAATCTTATTACATTTTAAATGTTAATTATTTTATTTTATTTCATATTATTACCATATTCTATTTCTTATCAATATCATTTATGTATCATTAACACTTGCATTTCTTTTATTCCCAGTATTGTGACTATATTTTTTAGCCATCGTTTATTTTATTTTATTTCATTTATTCCGCATCACATTTTTTAAACGTCGCTCACGTCACCCCTTAGAGATCTACATACTCTCCATTCCTCTTTTGTGTAGTCCACTTGTGTTTGAAAAAGGCTGACTGGCCAAAACGTTACGTTGTGTTGTTTTGTGCACGTTTTCCTTTTTCTCATTTTGTTGAGCTTTTTAGTCAAATTTCTCTGGAATTCATTGTAATTTATGGGACTTGTGCCCAGTTAATACTTATCCAAATGGTGATACTGTGTATCACCTGGTGTTGGTCACTTGTTGTACAGTCCTGGCAGAGTTGAATGACTTGCGCAGAGGAACTTACTGATAGTTTATTAATATATATATATATATATATATATATATATATATATATATATATATATATATATATATATATATATATATATATATACATATATATATTATGTTACTCAATACAGCAATACTGTGCTTTTATCTGTCAGCATGTACCGTCCTTAGTCACCGGCTTGGTTTATAAGAGAGATCCTGAAACTGTTCAATAAGGTACAGCAGTCAGCCTACTGAATAACCCAGACAAATATCCCCACCTCTCTCTGGTTTCTGGGCAGATTTTTCTGGGGAAAAGAAAAGAATACACCCACTGCCCCCACCCTCAAACAGCTATGCCATAATTAGGTGTGTTTGCTTTGAAGTAGGAATTCATTTTCATGAAAGGCAAGAAACCAACAGTCTGCACCAGCGAGCCAGATCTGTCAAAACAGATCAATCGATCAGTCAGTCAGCATGTCCTTTACAGAATATTGCTCTCTTCATGTCACACCTGAAAGTCTCTCTATCTCTAGCCATTGCATCTTTAGAGTCGTGTATCCCCCATCTTGGAGGTTGGCCTCTGCCTTATCTACTAGAAACAGCACCCTCCATCACCATTCTGTCCAAACAATCATGGTCTTTGACATGTCAAAAATATCTCAGCTTGCTGTAGAGGATTCTGTTTACAAGCCAGTTCTCCTTGATGTTCAGGTCATGCAGGATCTTGATGTTTTACTTCTTCCTGGTCTACAGTATTCTAAGAATAGAATAAAACAGATGCACACACTAAACTCAAACGCAGGAACAAAACCAAAGTCTAGAAGTGGACTAACAACCATAACTTTCCACCAGAGTTAACAGCCAGTAAATGTGAAGAAGAAGAAGAAGAAGTAGAAAGCCCACCGTTGTCTGATTCCCTCAGCCCAATCCACATGCCCTGACCATGAGCCATGCTGAATGTGAGTGATGAGTTGTGGACAGAAGCCAGGGTGGCTCCCTGGAGTTCACATTCCCTGCCAGCCATCTCGTAGGTGAACTTCTTGTCCAGCACCTGAAGATAGCATACAGATCCATGCTGTACAAAGTTGCTGATGCTGCAGTAGTCACCAGGCTGTAGAGGGATCTCCTGAGGAGGGGCTGGAGATACAGACCATGAAAAAAATGGGAACTTGGCAATGTACAAGACATGAGGTCTCAGAGCTGACAATTTACACAATATCAGCATGAGGTCTCAGAAATGACAATGTACAAGTTGTGAACACAAGGTCTTGGAGCGGACAAGAAATGACAATTAACACAAAGTGAACATGAGGTCTCAGAGCTGACAATTTACACAAAGTGAACATGTGATCTCAGATTTGACAATTTACACAATGTGAACATGAGATCTCAAAGCTGACAATTTACACAAAGTGAACATGAGGTATCAGAGCTGAAAATTTACATAATGTGAACATTAAGTCTCAGAACTGACAATTTACACAATGTGAACATGAGGTCTCAGAGCTGACAATTTACACAATGTGAACATAATGTCTCAGAGCTGACAATTTACACAATGTGAACATGATGTCTCAGAGCTGACAATTTACACAATGTGAACATGATGTCTCAGAGCTGACAATTTACACAATGTGAACATGAGGTCTCAGAGCTGACAATTTACACTAAGTGAACATGAGGTCTCAGAGCTGACAATTTACACAATGTGAACATGATGTCTCAGAGCTGACAATTTACACTAAGTGAACATGAGATCTCAGAGCTGACAATTTACACAATGTGAACATGTCTCAGAGCTGACAATTTACACAATGTGAACATGATGTCTCAGAGCTGACAATTTACACAATGTGAACATGAGATCTCAGAGCTGACAATTTACACAATGTAAACATTAGATCTCAGAGCTGACAATTTACACAATGTGAACATGAGGTCTCAGAGCTGACAATTTACACAACGTGAACATGATGTCTCAGAGCTGACAATTTGCATAATGTGAACATGAGGTCTCAGAGCTGACAATTTACACAATGTGAACATGAGATCTCAGAGCTGACAATTTACACAATGTGAACATGAGGTCTCAGAGCTGACAATTTACACAACGTGAACATGACGTCTCAGAGTGGACAATGTACATAATGTGAACATGAGGTCTCAGAGTGGACAATGTACATAATGTGAACATGAGGTCTCAGAGTGGACAATGTACATAATGTGAACATGAGGTCTCAGAGTGGACAATGTACATAATGTGAACATGAGGTCTCAGAGTGGACAATGTACATAATGTGAACATGAGGTCTCAGAGCTCATAGCACTGTTATCCATTCCTTCCCATGCACTGTACCATCAATAGAACATTCATTACTTGTGTTTAATAATTTATCCAAGTGGCCTAAATTTGTTGCGCCTGTTTACAGCATAGCTGGGACATTTGTGCTTTTGGTCAACACATCAACTTCTTTAGGCATTTGTTATCCAGGTTAGCATTCCTGGTTAGTTTGAGGGGACATTGTGGGACATTTGCAGGCTCATTTTAAGGTGATCTCTTTATCCCCTGATCCACAGGGGTTGTTCCTAGAGGCCCCATCCCAGGGAAGCCATATGCAGATTGGTCAACCCTCAAGGTGAAGCAGAAACAGGCTTGGGGCATTCCCTGCCATCCAAGGAGGCTTCCATAAATGCAGAGCAGATACATGGTTCTCTGGTACTAGGCTCACCCAATGAATCGTCACATCCTGCCCATGAGTAGCTAACCCCAAATCTGTATTTTGAGTTTTCACTCATTATGGGCTGTACTGTATGTACCCTTTAGGGAACCTCAGGAAGAAGTCCACAGATCCAAAACTTTAATTCCCTGCACAAATGGTTATCTCACTTCCTCAGTGGGCAATACTTCTCTCTTTGCTATTGGAATTTTTTGTCGTGATGTCCCAGAGCATATTCTGCGGTATTTATGGGAAGCATGTGGCAGGTATGGCTTTCCTGAATGGTCATTACACTCCAGTAAAAATGGTCAACTGGTGTTGGTGGATGTTTGAACCTTTCACGTTATAAAGAACAGAGATTCAAATCTAAACAGCCAAACAGTAGGAGTCTTGGTGAACAAACATTTAAATCTAAACAGCCAAACAGTAGATGTCTTGGTCACACATGTTTGAAATAAGGTTTTGTCATCGAGTTGCATTTTCTGATGACAGACATTTAAACTTATTTTTGGTCATTTTGTAGGGTTCTTGACCTGTGAACTTTACTCATTTTCCAAATGAGTTTCCCATGTACATTATCCCTCATTCTCTTGGGTATTTGACCTGTGAACTTCACTCATTTTCCAAATGAGTTTCCCAAGTACATTGTCCCTCATTCTCTTGGGTACTTGACCTGTGAACTTCACTCATTTTCCAAATGAGTTTCCCATGTACATTATCCCTCATTCTCTGGGGAGGGGCTGATAGTGCCAGAGCATGTATGGACGCTGCATCTCTGAGGACCACCAACTCCGAGATCTCCTGCCAGCTGAATTTAGATCAATATAGGCTTTCACTGTAGAACACAAAAAGGGTCCAAAGGCAAAAACAAAAGCACAAAGTCTGCTAGAACCTGAGGTGAGGTATAGAGTATCTCCTTACAAATGTCACAACATAAGAACCTTAACTTTTCCCTCACGCCTGTGTCCAAAATCACTGTGCCACACAGATAGTGAGTCCAGATAGTGAATTCTGCCTGTGCCATCCAAGAACCACCTCTCTTCAGCCTGCACCCATTAGTATCACCCAGATACCTCACATAGAACATGTCCTCTGTCCTCAGTGACATTAAGAAGTACACTTTTTGTCTGTAGCACCTATAGCCTGTTTCACAACGAGTAAAGACTACGGTACAAGACACATATGTACTGATCAAGATATCTCATATCCCATAAGTCTTAACATACACGTACTACTGCTTACTATTCAGAAAGAAAGAAAGAAAAACTGCCACATACTTGCATCATATCGACATATAAAGGGTCTAGGTTCTGTACACTGGCCTTTGTGGAAGAGTCCAGTGTAATTCATGTAAACACAAGCCTCATGTAATTTCTCTTGAGGCTGATGATGCGCCCACCTGGTGTAGGTGACGGGGTATCCACTGTCCCAGGTGTAGACTCCTGGAGACTTTAGAAAAAATTTATCTATATACAAACTGTTGCATAACAAACTCAACTCTTTTAGAACTAAGCAACTCACTGTAATTTTTTTGGTTTCTGTTCACATGATACGACTTCTTTGTGCTAAATCATTCTTCTTTTTTTAAGCGTTCACCAGTTGTAAAGTTCAGCAGGAAGTTGTCCACTTCTGGTCTTCAGTCTTGTTCCAGACTGCATGCATATCTGTTTTACAGAACCGGCTTTTTTGTATGCAGACTGTTGATTCCTCACCTCTCAGTCAGAAACACTGATTTTAAAGGAAACAATCAGAATTAGTCAATATCTATGGCATGTTTGTTAGGGAGGCTTCGTAATGCCTTGCACCTTGCTTTGGTTTCGACAGTTTATCGAGAAGCCGACTGTCCAGAAAGTAATGGCAAACTACTTGACATAAATTTGCCTAAAAATCCACAACAGAAAAAAAAATTATGGGGTTGGTTCTGCAATGCCCTGTAAAGGTCTATAAGGAAGGTCTATCCCCCCCCCCCCCCCCCCCCTCTCCCACCCCTCGCAAAATTGGGATCCCAGAACACATATGGGGACCCCAGAACCCCAAGCTCGGGGATATGAACCTCTTCTGTCTCGGCTGTTACTTCAACTGCCTCATAGTCTACTACCTCAACTCAGTTGGTGGTGAATATATGCATGACAAGCGAATTGTGGTCAAGGCTCTTTCAGGGCAAATAAACAATGCAAAGGCAAAAATAGGTTATTACAGTCTGGGGCGAATGGTTCAGCTAAGAGTGACCAGAGGATCTCATCTACACTACACTCAAAGGAAATTAAAGATGGATGTTATAATTAAACTGTTACTGGCACCTTCAGAAATGGAACTATATGCCGGCTGCTGAAGATGAGAATGGGCACTAATGGGAATTTCCTGAGTGCTATGATGTCAGTTCTCAGCTCAACACTCAACGAAAAAGTAAACAACTGGGCATTAACCAATCGTAAATACACTACCAATTTCATAAACAATATCAGGGACTGAGAAAACTTGAATGTTAAGCCTGCTCCAGACCAATCTATGGAGAAGAAGATGAGCATAACAAACCATGTCCTTACCTCCTGATCATTGAGCCCAATCCAGACACCATCTGTAAAGTTGTAACTAAGCAAGTAGAGCTCTGCCCAATCAAATCCATCCATCACAGTTGCCAGGTAGGACTTTGAGGAAGAACAGTATACATGTGCGTCCTGCCAGGACAATGACTCATTGACAACTTTGTAACAGGAAGTTGAAAACTGCTGAAATCCATCTGTGATGTTGCACTGAGCAGACGGAGCCACTACATTGCTTGGGAAAGCACTGTCTACAAGCAACAACAACCAAAAAAAAAAAAAAGTTAAAAAAAAAAAACACTGTATGGTTACAGATTTTTCTTACAAGCTTAAAACACAACAATATTTAATTGTTTATACAATAGAGAACTAGCTGGTTAAATGGTAAGAACATGGGGCTGCTATGCGGGAGACTCAGGTTTTAATCCTTGGCAAAGTTACGGATTTTTTGCTGAGGGCAAAAATAAAATGTAAACCTGCACATACCATGGTGACAGCACTAGCAATGCTGCCATAAACCATCAGGTTGAATTCAGACAGAGCCTTATGTGACATATAATGAATGGCACAACGGTGATCAGGACTTTTGTGTGTGTGTGGCTATGTTTTTTTTTTAAAGATTTATTTTGTTAGTGCTACTGTAACAGACACATTGTAGTTAGTACCAGCACACTTGCTTTAGACACTGGTAATGGCAAATTTTTAAATTATAAAAAAAGCTCTGATGTGTTGTTTGAAACAGTCTGAAAAGCAGGCAACAGAATGAAGGAAAACAGAAAAATGAACTCATACCCACAAATCCCTGGCAGACGTATGCATACTTGTCCTGGCAGGAGCCAGCATTCCACTTGCCCACAGAGCCTGGTGATGCTGACATGTACACACAACTGGCCTGCGGATTACAGGGTCAAGCTCTCACAATGGTATCATGCAGGCAATAAACAAACTTAAAAATCTTCTTCTTCTTCTCCTCCTCCTCTCTTCCACCTTGTATCTCAGCAAAGTGTCAGGGGGAGATGTGAAGTTCGTTGATGAGCTCTGTCGAGAGCACTATTAAGACTGATGTTTATTTCTGTAAGTCTTTTCTTAATGCCATCACTACATATTTTAGAAGGTCTTCGACTTGCTTTATAACCGTATACTTATAACATAAACTGTACAAAATGTCCATACAGTGCGATCAAGTAAGCTGCTAAAACCTTTATTTCTTGTTTGTGTAATAGCTTATAAATTAGTAAAATAAAAAGGTAAGGGTCCCTTTTCTACGCCTTTAGGCACACGGGGCATATAGGGCTAGACGTATATTTTTATAGACCAATCTGTACAATGTGATGTGGTCAGCATCATGCCGGCCACCTTTACTTTCCGGGACTGCACCTGGTACCCACTCAAGGCTGGCTCGACCTGGGACTCAAGGTCAGTTTTGAAAAAATTCCGGCCTCGTCTAAATTAAGAATACTTTTTGAAAACAGTGCAAAGGCATAATCAAATCATTGTGGTCTGAGAATAATGGTGTGAAGGGGGACCAACAGATCCGGCCTATGCTCAACACTCACGGGAAAGGCGAGACGGATATACAATCAGACAGTTAACTGTACCATGAGGATGGAACCCTTGTATGAGTGTCTGGAGTGCTATGATTTTCTATTCTCAATTCATCATTCTACTTTATGCAATATTCCATAGTCAATTAAGGTGAGAAAGGGAGCTCTCAACAGCTGTATAAGTCCTTTACTGATATACAGAAGTGAATCATAGATAGTTAGCCAATTAGCAAAAAATTATGTGGAAACGGTAGAGATGTGGTTTTATATGTATAAAAAGAGTAAAGATGATGTCTTGAAAGAAAGTGACTCACAAAGAGATCTGGTCGCCCTCATATTCTTCTGTCATTCCATGTGAGGGAGACAACAGAAGTACATCATGATGGTGGGAATGTTGGAAAAGAAAGGAGGCAGAAAAAGACATCACAACATTTTCAAACATGACAAAAGTGGTAGACATTTCAACATGATCAAAAAGGGGAAACATTTTATAAAGTGACCAAAAGTGGAAGAACTTTTAACATGATCAAAGATAAAAACCTCTTTTAACATGAGAAAAAAGGAAAGACTTTTTAATGTGACCAAATAGGGGAAAAGACCTTTTAACATAACCAAACAGAGGAACAGACTTTTCAACATGATCAAGGTGGAAAGGCTTCAGTTCCATCAGAAAATGTCAAATCACCAGATGTCTGCAAGTGTGTCTGTACCATACACACTTAGATATTAACGAGCATGATTAAGTACTTGAAGACAAACTCTTACATTTCCTTCAGCACTGTTTGGTTGGTTTTTATTCCAGCCCTCGAATCCAAGGTCCTCATTGTCTTCCCACACATACTGACCACTGGGCAGTCTCTTCATCCCAAGCCAAGCAGAGATTTTGTACTGGCTCAGTAGTGTTGTGATAAATGCTGAAACAATAGAAGTTTATTCTCATGTAGGGATACTAGTGGTCAAGAGAGATAAACAGAGAGCGAAATAGAGACAGAGATGACAGACAGACAGACAGACAGACAGACAGACAGACAGACAGACAGACAGACAGACAGACAGGCAGGCAGGCAGGCAGACAGGCAGGCAGGCAGGCAGGCAGGCAGGCAGGCAGGCAGGCAGGCAGGCAGGCAGGCAGGCAGACAGACAGACAGACAGACAGACAGACAGACAGACAGACAGACAGACAGACAGACAGACAGACAGACAGACAGACAGACAGACAGACAGACAGACAGACAGACAGACAGACAGACAGACAGACAGACAGACAGACAGACAGACAGACAGACAGACACATGGACAGACAGAATAAGAGAAAAACAAATATATAGACAAAGAATAAAACAAAGAAAGACAGGGTGAGAGAGAGAGAGACAGTGTGTGTGTGTGTGTGTGTGAGAGAGAGAGAAGATAAAAGAGACAGGCAGGGAAAGAGAGGGAGGGGGTGAGAGGAAGAGAGAGAAATTTGTAGTATATACTTTCTTCCTATCCCATTACCAAACTATCATTCTCATTAGGTCTGTGTGCAGTTCTCTCCTTCCTCCTGCAACATTCATTAACCAGCTGGGGAGGGTAAACAGGACCAGCACTGGACACTCACATCCACAGAGTCTGTACTGGTCATGCGGGTGTAAAGGGAAATGGGCAAGCGGACCATCTGGCAAGCACTGCTCTAAGGATTTGCGGGAAAAAGCATGGACCGAGCAGATATCGCCAACGCTGTAAGGACTGGGCTATTGGATAATAAGGAATCTCTGACACTAACACGATTGCGTGACATGGGAGTAAAGCATGGTAAAGCCATCTTTGAGGCATAGATAGGAGACAATATAACCAGCTTTTCATGGGAACAATTAGTAGAAGTATTTTGGAGTGGCTGCTGTATCGGATGACTGAGCAAGCATGGGAATGCCTTATGTGCAGTGAAGTGACTGTGTGAACATATCATAACACATTGATTGACATTCACAGAAAGAAGCAGAAAGACGAAAGAACACACTAGACCAGCAGTTCTCTAACTGGGTGCGGTCAGCGAATGCCAGGGTTGCCGTCACATAATCAGGAATTTTTCAAAATCTGCTTGAGATCAGCGAAGATAGCAGTTTAAAACAGAAATACCATTAAGGAATCCAAGAAGAGTTCTGGATGCAGGTGTTTTCAGAAACAAATTTATTTGGCAAGGCTGCAGTGTATTCCCAACATATGCTTACATTATAAAACAGATACAGGAACAATTTCCAAGTGATTTGAGGGCGCAGTTAATTAAACTTCCCATAAACATACAGGAAATAATGAATCAATTCATCCAAACAGTTTTACTGATCACATTAACGCTAACTAAACACTAAAAGTGCTCCTTTTTTTTTCTCCTTTGTGCCACTAGCTGTCCACTAGGTGTCCACTAGGTGTCCACTAGGTGTCCACTAGGTGTCCACTAGGGGTCCACTAGGTGTCCACTAGGGGTCCACTAGGGGTCCACTAGGTGTCCACTAGGGGTCCACTAGGGGTCCACTAGGGGTCCACTAGGTGTCGCAGGTTAATAGATTATCAGTTTCTGAATTAGAGCATGCTTGGTTGCCCAATATGCTGTGATGATGAGCCTCAAAGTATCAATGATGCCTTCTTCTTCTTGGTTTTTCCCCTACCTCTTGGTCTTTCTACTTGCACGGTCTATGCGGTCACCTCTGGCATCACTGGATTCATTCTGTTTAAATGGCAAAACCATTTCCGTCTTTGTTTTCTATGAATTCAAATTATAGATGGTGTTCCAGAAGCCCAGGTAACTTCTTCGTTTTTCACACAATCTCTTCTAGTTCTGTTCTTGGCTTTTCTCAAACATCTCATTTCGCAGGTTGTCAGTTTTCTTTCAGGTTCTTTAGTCAATGTCCAAGTCTGACACTGACAGCACAAAGTTGGTATAAAAATTACATTTATAACTGGTCTTTTGATGTTTCAAAATTGGGGTAAGTTTATATGTGACATTGCTGGCTTGTTGGATTGTTGTCTGATGAAAGGTAATGATCCTATTTAAAAAAAAAAAAAAAGGAGTTCAAGTAACAAATGGAAAAGACTGATTTATTCAAACAACGTGATGCGCGCTAAATGTTAACCAAAAAAAAAAAAAAAAAATCATATCATATAATTAAAAATCAACAAACTCATCACGAGTTGTTTGGTACTGAATGAGTTAACCATCCTTAAACTGAATGACGCCTACTAACCATTTTCTTCCTGTGTGGTCACACTTGCAAGACTGGTGCTGTAATTGGGGTGTGATTCTGACATGGCATATTTACAGGAAGTCTCAGCGTAGCTCCAACTTTGCCTGTCCATGTCTCCATATATGCCCATTACTCTGTTAGGAGGGAGAAAAAAATACAAATGCAAATGCAAGCTGACAGTAGTGAAATACTGTATAATTCACAGTAAAATATTTCTCCCTTACAATGTTTAACTGACAGGAAAATATGTCTCCCTCACACTGTATAACTTAAAGTAAAATACCCCCCCCCCCCCCTTTCCCCCTGTTGAACTCATAGTTTAAATAATTCTGCCTTGCTCTGTATGACTCACTGTAAAATATGATTCCCTCACACTGTATAACTCACAGTAAAATATGATTCCCTCGCACTGTATAACTCACAGTAAAATATGATTCCCTCATATACTCACAGTATGATTCCCTCAACTGTATGAATTTATTTTCCCCTCACACTGTATAACTCACTGTAAAATATGATTCCCTCACACTGTATAACTCACAGTAAAATATGATTCCCTCGCACTGTATAACTCACAGTAAAATATGATTCCCTCAAACTGTATAACTCACAGAAAAATATGATTCCCTCACACTGTATAACTCACAGTAAAATATTTTCCCCTCACACTGTATAACTCTTAGTAAAAATATGATTCCCCTACACTGTATAACTCACAGTAAAATATGATTCCCTCACAATGTATAACTCACAGTAAAATATGATTCCCTCACACTGTATAACTCACAGTAAAATATTTCTTCCTCACACTGCATAACTCTAAGTAAAATATTCCTCCCTCACACTGTATAACTAACAGTAAAATATGATTCCCCCACACTGTGTAACTCACAGTAAGACATGTCTCCATCTTCCTGTATAACTCACATTAAAATATTTCTCCCTTACCATGTTTAACTGACAGAAAAATATGATTCCCTCACACTGTATAACTCACAGTAAAAATCACCCCCCCCCCCCCCCCCCCCCGTTAACTGATGATAGTAAAATATCCCCCCCCCCCCCCCCCACACATTGTATAACTCAAATTTTATAACTCACCCACCCGCAAGAACTTTCACACTAAGCAGTGGAATATTTCCGCTCACACTATATTACATTTTTAAGTTAAGTAGTTTGTCACTTCTACTGAAATTTGGCTTGATACCACTGTCATCTTCGTTGTTTTCTTGTTCACTGGCTGTAAACTGTAGTGGACAGTTTTGTTTGCTTGTCCACTTATGGACTTTCATCTTTTTTTAGAATTTTGAGTTTCATGTGCACATCCATTTTTACATAGCCCGTTTATCTATATGCACACGCCCGGCTCTCTAGCGTAGTTGGCTAAACCAGACTGCGCAGTGACCAGGTGACAAACTCCTTGTGGTCCGGGTTCACTCCCCGGGGTAGGCAGAAAAGCCACATTTTCTCCCAGATTTACGGTACCTATGATGGAATCAAGGCCGAAGGGTTGCGATATCCATAGCACCAAGCCAAAGGGTTAACAACTCATGGTTTCTGGATATTCGCTGCTAAATAACCCACAGCTGTAACTGAACCGGGTATTTCAGAATCACAAATTATTCTGGCAATGCTTCAGCCATAGAGCCAACAAAACAATGTATAACTCATATTGTTAAAAATAAAAATAAAAACCCGCATAGCTATTCGATGGCACTTAACTATGCAAAAAAAAAAAAAAAAAAAAGAAGTGCACAGCTACTGAAAGGAACATAATTTTGACATTCAAAATGTTGTAATGCAATGAACAAAACTGCATACAAGAATATCTTTGGGTTCAATCAATCAACTGATAGTTATTCTGCCTCTGGGTCGTCAATAGCTTTTTAAAAAAAAAATATGTACAGGCTTTCCCATCAACTAATTTAGAAAAAACACAATCAGACAATTATGCATTATTTTAAACAATATTATGTTTTCTCACGCTGCAGAAGCCACAAAAACCTAAAAGCTCAGAAAGCTGTCATTTATTTTACCAACAGCAAACTCTTACCTGTAACATTTGTATCCAAACCGGCTAAAGTTGGGCGGACAGTTCCCATCATGCCTTCTCACTGGGGTGGGTCTGGTGATGTTGACCCCTGGAGCTGGTTGCTTACACACAAACCCTTGTCGGGTTGAGCAGTGGATGTCTCCCCATCTTCCTGCAGTAGGGAAACCACAGAATTTCATTGTCTACAGTGCATTTCAAAAGTTGAGCCCTCACACTTTAACAAATATCTTGAAAACTCCTGTATGGATCAACATGAATTTCTACGCGTGGCCTAAGATTTTCCCTGTCCTCATGATTAAAAAATTTACAATTGCTCAGGGGCCACTGTTTTCTTAGTGCGATGAATTTCTTTGATCTTTGTTGGCTTTTAATTTCTGTACCCCTAAAAGACAGAATAAACAGTAATTGACACAAGTGTAGATATTGCCTAGAAATAGGTTTACACGTGCAGTGATGCTTGGTTATTATTTTGATAGCCTATCCCACATAGAATGAAACACTATCTAATTCATGGGAGGCTAACACTGGAGATGACCACCTGAGATCGAAACGCCCATGAAACACATGCAATTTGATGTTCTGAAACCTTCCTGTTGTTGAATTAATTGTCAGTATGCCAACTGTGTGCTCTAAATCAGTATCTATTTTCTCATATACCTGAAATAAGGCAACATTAAAACTTAATGTTTGTTTACATGTTTACAATTTTCACATGTAGAATTCTATTCTTCTGACTGCAAATGGCATCGGATGAACTTAAGTATTATCATGAACATGTATTATCATGTCTATTCAAAGCGTGGTGTGGTTTCCAGAATCCTTTTTGTTAAAAAAAAAAAATCCTATAATAGCCCTGGAACGGAGGCATTAAGACTGAGCTGGCTACATGAAAAACAGCTGCTGGGAGACTCTTGCAGGCAATAAACGAAGGGTTTTCTTGGCAAAATAGAAATCCGCATGAGGACAAAAATGGCTGTTTACCACTCTACCTATGTGCCAGTCCTGACCCACAGGTGTGAGTCATGGGCAATGATAACAGCTCACAAAAGCCAGCTTCAGAAATGAGACAATCTGAGAAAAGTAGTCCAAGTGACAAGAAGGGACAAAGTCTGCAATCAGACAATACATCAAGATCTTGAAACCCAGGCCTTACAAACCCGAGTGGATCAGTTACGATAGTCTGGACATTTATGCAGAATTAGAGAAAATCGACCTCCTTGGCAGGCTAAGAACCAGGGAACCAGACTTCCAGGACGACCCAGGGTGCGCTGGGAAGACAACATCCGACAGTCCCTGACTGACAGAGGACTGGAATGGAACAAAGCCAGAAAGAAAACTGCTGATAGAGACGTCTGGCAAACCTCTGCACCTCAAGGTAGAAGTGGAGTGACTAAATAAGTAAGTACAAACCTAAAAACTCACTACCCCCAACAAGCATGTCATAGAAGGTGACTGACCAGGTGTTTGCTGAATTGTGTGGGGCAGAAAGGTACAGATATTGCAGTCAAGTTGTAGACCATAACACAGCCTGCTAACTCTCCTTTTAAAGGAAAACACAGAAGAAGAAATATATCCAGTGTGAAAGGTTTCCTGTTATGTTTTAAAGTTACCACATACTCCATTTTTCTAAGATTCCTTCATTTCTCCCTCCACACCTTCTCCCCTTTCCAAATTTTGTTTCTATTGAGTAAGTTAATTATGTATATTTTATATCTTATTAGTAGTGAAGAATGCCTTTATAAACAAGCAATGAGCTGTACCTCCATTTTTTTTTTAAATTTACAAAATCTGGCAACTCTAGACCATGCCATAAAACACTGTGCAAATCTCCACTTCCTGTCCATGTGTGTCAAGCTGTCTAGTAAGAAACTGCAATGATAAAGCTTCTAATTGATTTGATGATTTGATTCAAGAACCGACATCACAGCACTTAGGGCATTATCATAAGCTGTCCCCATCTTCAGCAGCCAGCGAAGAGTTATGATACTAATGGTGCCAGTAACATTCTGATTAAACGTCCATCTTGCCTTTCCTCTGAGCCTCGAGCATCTGCCAGAACTTCTCGTCACTCCCCGCTGCATCAATCTCACCAGACTGTAGTGATCCATCTGCTCCTCCGAACTGTACACGCTCTCCCACAATGCACTAACCACGTCTGCCTTATCATGTATCAGTATTCCACCAAGTTGTGCAGAGCCAGCCAGTCTGTCCGTGTGCTCATTTCCCAACACACTGGCCTACCCCGGTGAAAAAAGCTTCTAATGCTGTTGATCTATCTGTTTCTGGATCTTCATGCTCTGTTAATCTGTTCACTTTGGTTGGTACACAATGAAAACTATACCTAATGACACTCTGATTGATACAGAATACATGACATTGGTGGTTAGTACACAATGAGCAATATAGCTACTGAAACACGACACTTTGACTGGTATTCAAGTGGAGAAGTATACTTATTGATTAGTAGTCAAGGCGTTTTTGTCCAATGGTTTAAACAAAACCTGGTCAAGTTGTTTTAAAAACCAACATCCTGGTGAAGTCTAATAATTTTTTGTTACTCACCGTTTCTGGCCAGCATTTGCACACAAGCCTCCAGGCCACTGTAGTCATTGGGTTCATCCACATTCCAATTCAACAGCCAGCTTCCTACTGGGCTCCCATCTGACCAGCTGAGAGGACCATACATACAATGTGGGTATTGTGAATGATTTGGTCAGAATAATGTCTTAACTTATATCTCCCTCGACACCCACAGCGGTAAAGAGGAAGTGAAGAAGAATGTCTTAACCTATGCCAGGTTAATACAAATTTATGTAACCTATGGTGCTAGTTCAATGGTTTAAGATTAATGTTGTTCACATTCCATTGGTTTAAAAAAAAAATGTATTGATCACTATCATCATGAGAGCTATTAGACTGAAAAGGGTTGGACATATTGAGAGAATGTCAGATACAGAGAGGTAAAAACTGTATAAGCAAGGAACTGAATGGTCATTGACCATGAGGCAGACTAAGAAGATGATGGAGAGATAATGTCCAGACAGACTTACAAACACTTGTTGTCACCAATTGGAAAGAGAAGGCCAACCAGAGAGATGAGTGGTGGCAGGTGATACCTGCAGCAATGAACCTCAAATGCTTGGAATGCTGAAGAAGAGGAAGAAGATATTTCATAGTGTTTTATTTAAAGTGTTCAACAGACATGGTAAATTGAGGCATCTGTGGAGGTGCCTAGTTGGCCAGGTGTCTTAGTACACTTGTGTGTGCAGCAAAGAGCTGTCGTCATCTTCTTTTTCATGTTCACTGGCTGTAAACTCCAGTGAAAGGTTCTGGTTGTTCATCCACTTTACTTTAGTCTTGTTACAGAACTTGACTTTGTATGCACAGCCATTTTCAAATCTGGCTTACTTGTAAGCAGACTGTTGGTTCCTTGCATCTATGACATGCTTGTTAAGGGGGCAGTAGGTCTATTCTTCTTTCCTCGAAATGAGGCCCCAGAACCCCACATAGGGAAGTGACAGCTTTCACTCCTGCCTTTGCAACTATAGCTTTCCATTTGTGTGTGTCTAGTGTGTCCTATCTACCTCTTTCTATGATTGCTGATCAGTACAGGTCTATTTGTTTATATAAAAAATATATATATAATTAATGTTGTATAGTAACTGTGTTGGGAATGAGCTAACTACCCAGCCGCCCAGTCACCATGTGTCACACACAGGTATTTATTTATTTGTTCACTGACCAGTGTACAAATGTGAACCAGGTGATTGAAACTTCCTATTCATTTCTTTGTGTTTGATAACATCTGTTGACCATCTGATTTATTTGGAAACATGGTTAAAAGCCTAAAATATAGAATGTTTGCAAGGTTTAGCAAGTTACTAAGTGTTTATCTGAAAACAATATGGCTGCCTAGCAGTATTCTACATGCAGAACAGCATGATCTACAGCTTTAGAAGCTTCACATTTAAGTAAAACATGTTTTTATCCCATTTATCCAAAACTGTGATTCATAGTATAGATGTTGTGTGTCTTTGGTAGTCGCATCTACTCAAAGCCTTTTGCCTCATGTATTTTCAATCAGTTCTGACATATGCTCCCCCATGCCATTTTGTCAAAATGTTAAGCATCTTCTCTCTGGATCTCCCTATGCCCCTCTAGCTTACCAACTTGCATGATGTATTCCAGTTTTCTCTCCAAGACATGACCAAATAATTTTGACTGTCTCCTTCTGATGTGGGTAATCAATTATTCCATGTTAATCTCTTTGAAGACTTCTTCATTGCTTAAAAAAAAAATATGTCCAGTTTTTACGCACCATTCAACTAAAAAAAAAAAAACATACCTCATTGCTTCCACAAAATTGTTCATTATTTGGCTAAATGTCCCTGATTCGTGTCCATCTATCAGTAAGGTCCACATTAGGTATATTCTTTCACCTGTAGCTGTTGAATAAAGTACAGCCTTGAAGGCTAGCCTGATAAACATATGCCCGGTGAACAATTTCTGATGAAGTGGGGTGTGTCTGCCCAAAGACGCAAATATCCCCGCTATGTGTAAACGGGCACAATGCAATCATGTCATTTAGACAAACAAACAAAAAAAGATGCAGAAGAAGATAAAGTAAATTTTTTTTACTTGTACCCATAAACATACAATATTTTCTCACCTGTACCCATAACCTCTGTCCAGCTCACTAAGCCCAATCCATGCTGCCTCCACTGGTATGCCATGATTTAACTAAAAATAGATTATTACTACAACATATCAGAACTAAACAGAGATAAAATCAATGTAGCATTTTTACTCATCCATGGCCAAGCAACCCACAATATGATGGTTAGTTTCAATCTATAGAACAAGTCTCTTTAAAGTTGTTGGGTCTTCTCCGCTCACTGGCTGTGAACTTCAGCAGAAAGTCCTGGCTGGTCATCCGTGTTTAGACTTTGGTCTTGTTCCAGGACTCGAGCATGGTGTGCACAGACGTTTTCCATTTCTGGCTTATTGTGTACAGAGTTTTGATTCCTTGCCTCTCAGAAAATGTCCTTCAGCATTGTTCTTATCAGTGTTGGCCAGGGAAATGATTTCTAGAATGACCATGTAGAATTACAGAAATGTCACAATCAGGATGGACGTATGTCCTGGTGCACCACGATAGTTGGCTATGCATCTCTGCCTTCTTTTATGTCTTGAACATTTATTACTTTCAGCCACTCTATTCTATGTTGTTAGCTCAATGTTTTTAATCTAGTTAGCATAGATATTACTATTCTAGAAGTTGTTATAGATGTTACTATTTTACTTGTTTGTATCAATGCTAACTATAATAGTTTTTCGTACACATATACTTTTATCCTTGCTAGTATAAATATTTCTTTGGCTTAGGCATTGCGAATTTTCTTCGTAACGTTGGGGTGCCGGGTTCGATGCCAGCTGCAGGCCTGTGCCTTGTGTTAGTTTCAGCAGTGGTAATGAGAAGTCGACCGTCCAGGAAGCAGTGGCAAAACTACTGAACGTAACTTTGCCTAGAAAAACCACAAAAGCTGGGGTTGGCTCTGCAATGTCATGTAAAATATTAGAACTAACTGCCCTCAATAGAAGGAGACAATTTGCATTCTTTGGTCATGTGTCACGAGAAGGAGAAAACATGTACATGAGTACATCGTGACAGTGGGAGGTTGAGGAGAAAAGAGGCAGAATGAGATCAAGAGAGAAGATACCGGACAGTCTGACAAAATGGCATGGAACATCATCTGTGTCAGAATTGATTGAAAGCACACAAGACAGAAGGTTGTGGACAGACATGACTACTAAGGCAATTTAGTAAAAGCACATATACATACATGAAATGTTGAGTCGTTTATAATAATGGGAAAACTAACAGATACGTTTGAAATAAGAACAGGTGTGTGACAGGGATGACATGTGTCATAGTTATGGCTTGTGACACAGGGATGGCTTTTGTCACTGTGTCATGGGGACGGCTTGTGTCACAGGGATAGCTTGCGTCACAGGGATAGCTTGCGTCACCAGGATGGCTTGTGTCTCAAGGATGGCTTGTGTCACAGGGATGACTTGTGTCACAGGGATGGCTTGTGTCACAGGGATGGCTTGTCATGGGGATGGCTTTTTGTCACAGGGATGGCTTGTGTCACAGAGATGGCTTTTGTCATAGTTATGGCTTTTGTTATAGGGATCACTTGTGTCACAGAGATGGCTTGTGTCATAGTTATGGCTTTTGTCACAAGGATGGCTTTTGTCCCAGGGATGGCTTGTGTCACAGGGATTGCTTGGGTCACAGGGATGGCTTCTGTCATAGGGATGGCTTGTGTCACAGGAATGGCATTTGTCACAGAGATGGCTTATGTCACAGGGATGGCTTTTGTCATAGTTATGGCTTTTGCCACAAGGATGGCTTTAGTCACAGGGATAATTGTATTACCTCTCCTATTTATACTGACTAGAATATGAAGACAGCAACAGCTAACACCAGGAATGGAATTAGGTGGACCAGTACCAAACAGCTTGATGATCTGGATTTTGTTTATGACACTTCTTTCTTATCCCACAAATGAAATCAGATTAAGATAAATAGACATAATTTATGAGAGAAAACAACAATTAAGTCTAAAAGTACACAGAGGTAAGGCAAAGATAATGAGACCAATTTCTGTTGGTGATATGGTACTTCAAGATATGGCAAACACATATTTAGGCAGTAGTGTAAAATAAATATGGGTGAAATGATAGAGATGTATAAATCATCATCATCATTGTCTCATCATCATTGTCTCATCATCAATTTCCACTTCTGCCATTAAGCATTGTGGGGAGGGACACTTTGCGATCCATTGCTTGATGGGCAGCAATGGCTATTTTCATTCCATGTTGTAGAAGCTCTTTAATGTCATCAATCCATTTTCTCCTAGGGCGGCCTCTTGCTTTCACTTCAGATCTTTTCATGTGAAGCCCCTGTGTTGGTAGTTGTTCTGGCTGCATTCTTACTAAATGATCAAAACTTTTGATCTTCTGTTTCTCAAAACATAACATCTAAATAAATAGTATATCTTTAAATCTACATAAATCTAACCAAGGCTTAGTTTTTCAAAATTTTGTATAATTATATTATCTAGCGTTTGTCGATAAAATAACAAATGAGGCGAACATAAAACTGACTAACCATGCCATACACAAAAGCATTCTCATCGGCACTGGTGATAGATGCCAGATTGGCTCCATATTTCTCACACCACTGCTGACTTTGCCTCCAGGTCAAGGCATCGTCTGTGTCTCCAGCCCCATTGCTGATGTAGTAGCAGTAGTCCTTGTACTTGCTCCACGAGTTATCTAAAGGCTTGCACAATCCTACTGTAGGAAAGACACACATCATTTGTGAAACATGCCAGTCTTCAAGCTGAATTAAGTTAAGAACTGGCAGTACAGTCCTCAGGGACATTCCCACACAAGCTTTGTCCCTATCTTAACTGACATTATAACCCTCAGGGATATTCCCTAACAAGCTTTGTCCCTATCTTAACTGATATCATAACCCTCAGAGACATTCCCTCACAAGCTTTGTCCCTGTCTTAACTGACATCATAACCCTCAGGGACATTCCCTTACAAGCTTTGTCCCTATCTTAACTGACATCATAACCCTCAGGGACATTCCCACACAAGCTTTGTCCCTATCTTAACTGACATCATAACCCTCAGGGACATTCCCACACAAGCTTTGTCCCTATCTTAACTGACATCATAGCCCTCAGGGATATTCCCTCACAACCTTTTTCACTATCTTAACTGACATCATAACCCTCAGGGACATTCCCTCACAAGCGTTTTCCCTCTCTTAACTGACATCATAACCCTCAGGGACATTCCCTCACAAGTTTTTTTCCCATCTTAACTGACATCATAACCCTCAGGAACATTCCCACAGAAGCTTTGTCCCTATCTTAACTGACATCACAGCACTCAGAGACATTCCCACACAAGTTTTGTCCCTATCTTCAGCAGCCAGCACCCTTCTGATTCTGCTGGTACCAGTAGCAATCTGATTGGATGTCCAACTTGCCTCTCTTCAGAGTGTTCAGTCAAACGCTCAATCATACTTTAGTCATCCCCTTGTGGGATGCAATTATTCATTATTTGAAGCCCCACCCTGGCTTTTGCCGGGGGGCCCTGATTATAGCCAGGCCACAATTTTAGCCATAACGGCTGATAGGAGTTTCTAGGACCTCTCCACGGGTCATCCTCATCCACATGGTGGCACTTTGTGTCACCGGGTGTTTATCGCTTGTGTGATGTCCTAGTGAGGTACAACAAAGAAGCAAGCAAGCAAACGCTCAGCTCTTTGACCTATCTTCTTCTTAGCATTCACTGACTGGAAACTCCTGTGGAAAGTTCTGGTTGTTCTTCTGAACTTTTTGGTCTTGTTCCAGAGCTTGAGTTTTGTGTGAACATCTGTTTTCCAGATCTGGCTTACATGTATACACACGTAGTTCCTAACCCCAAGCAAACATGCTCTGAATTCGCAGGAAACACCCCTGATTTGTTGCCTTTTGCAACATGCTTGTGGGTGGGGGCAGTGGGTCTACTCCCCCCCCCTCCTCCCACAAGGGGGTCTAGGAACCCACACAAGATTTAACCTGTCTAAGGTAATGGATCCTTTTTCTTGCCATGAGCGAGAATATGGTGACAGCCTTACATATTTACACCAACTGGACTTTGATGGTGGATGACAGTAACACACTGTTCACCTATATTTTGCAGAATATCTCACAGTACTCCTTTTTATTCAGGCAATCTTATTACCTAGTTTAATACTCGAAAAACTAACAGTAAAGAGAAGGCCGATCAGAGGTGATTGGAGGAAAAGTATATTTGCAGCTACATACCTCAATGGCTCGGAATGCTGAAGAGGCAGAAGAAGAATGAGATGGGAACGATCAAGGAGGAGGAGTAGAAGAAAAAATAGAAGAAGACAAAGAATAAGAATGGAAAAAAGGCAAAGAAGGCGAAGAGCTTTGGAGACCACTGACTGATTATGCCAAGCCTAATGCATATTCAGTATGTTCGTTTCTGACATTAATAAACCATTTCTGATGCTTTTCTAGGTTTCTATTTCACCCTAACGGCATTTCTTCTCAAGCCAAAAACATATCAGCTTTCTCCACACATCACACAAAAATACTTACTATTTTCCGGCACTGGCACATTGATTGTCGTAATATTCGTCACAGTTTTTCCTGAAATTTAAAAAAAGATCCATCATGTCTAATATGAACTTTTCTTCTTCTTTACTTCCTCTTTTACCTCTTCAGGTGTCGAAGAGATATAAGGTCCTGCTTTGTGCTTTTCTGGCTACTTTGACCAAAGACACATCGTGGCACTGTCTAGTTTCTCTGATGTTATCCTTCCATATGTTCTTGGTCTACCTTTTGCTCTACGTCCATCTCCTCTTTTGTATATGCCTTGAATGTTATAGCATCAGAAGGCATTCTCTCCAAGTAGGCAAACCATTTGGTTTCCTGTCTTTTTTATGTAATTAAGAATTGGTTCTTTGCTGACTTTATCTCGTATCTCTCAGCATTGACAAACTGTTCAATCATGGGAGACAAATGAAACCAATGGATGGAGTCTTTTGAGGACAATCTGACACCAGCAGGTAGTATGAAGAAACCAACTAGATGAGAAGTTTGTACCTGAGCGAAAAAAAGCTGTGATAGTGTGAAGATA